AGCGTGTCCATGGCCGAGTCCGGGCCGCGCGCAGCGGGGCTGGTGACAGATGCTCCTACAGCCACGGGCACGCTCGCATGGCTTTGGCGGAGGCCGCCCTCGCCCGCACCTCCGGCCCGAGCACCGCCGGGGCCTCGCCCCTGTCGCCTGCGTCGCGCTCCTGGCTGGAGTCACCGCAGCCCAAGTTCTGCCGCCCGCATCCTCCGGCAGCCGATCGCCCGACTCCCGCGTGCCTCCGCCGCGGCCGTGGCAGCCGCACGGCCAGCGTCCTTGAGCTGCTGCCGACAGTCGGCCCAGCGCCGCTCCCACGCGGCCAGCCGCGCCCCCGGCCGCGCCCTGCCGCCGTTCCCGCAGGAGAGAAAGTCCGACCGCGCGCCCGCCGGGCTAGCTGTCTCTGGCGCCCGGCGCTGTGCGCATGTCCCGCCGCTGCCGGCTCCAGGCGTCTCTGCTGGGGGAGGGGGCGTTGGGAGATGGTACACAGAGGAATGGGGTGTGCCCGAGCCCTCCCTCCTTTGCGATCGGGGCGGAGGGGGCTTTTCCAGGCCTTAGAGAAGGTGCTGGAGTTGGAGAAGGGAAGGGGTAAGAAGCGAGCAGTGGGCAATTGTGAGAGACTGAGGTCCCAGAGCTGCCCTTGTCCCCTTGTTGGTGTAAGGATGGTACGCCTGCTTGCCCTCTCGCCCGAAGCCTCCACAGACCTCTCCACCCCACCCTTGCCTTCCAGGCACCCTCCACGCCTTCCCACTGACTTCTCCCATCCATGCCTGAACTGGTCCCAAGTTTTTCAAAGGGGGGCATAGTGGTTACACCTTGGGCTGCTAACTGCAAGGTCAGCAGGTCGAAACCACCAGCCACTCAGAGATGGACAGACTGGGCTTTGACTACAGTAACAGTCTCAGACACTCACAGGGGCTGTTCTACCTTGCCCTAAGGTCTCGGTGAGTTGGCATAAACTTGATGGCATTGAGTGAAAGTGAGTACCCAAAGCAGCTATCACGATAGGGAGCACAGAGGAGCTGCTGTGGAAATAGGACAAGCAGCTCACAAGCTTAGGGCCGACAGGAAACTTCCATTTATAGTGTTGTTTGCCCTCCAACCACTGGTAGATATTTCATAGGCATCTTTTTTAATCCGCAGAACAATACCGAGTTGGAATGATTATCCTCATGCATAGTGGTTATAGTTGGACAGCTTATCTCAAGATCAGCCGCTTAAAACCGCCAGCTGGTTCATGGGGGAAAGATGAGGTTTTCTACAAGGCTTTCTATTTCTGTAAAGTGTTAGTCTTAGAAATGGACAGGGGCAGTTCTATAGGGTTGCAATGAGTCAAACCCAACTCAAGACGACAGTGAGTTTGGTTTTACTTTTAACAGATGAAGATATAGTTGCATAGAAGTGAAATATTTGTCTGAAATATTCCTTAGCTAATCAGAGGCCACGTCGGAATCAAACCCCTCAAAAACCCCAAACCAGTCTCACTGCCATTGTTAATCTGGGTACTTCAGAGAAACAAATCCACAGAAACTCATATGTATAACAGAGAGTTTTATATAAAGGTTAAATGTGCATCAAGAAAACATCCTAACCCAGTGCTGCCCAAGCCAAGTACAACATTAACCCATATGTCCGACACCAATCCACAAAGTCCTCCTCCCTCTCACAAAACAGATGCAATGATGCCGACTGCAGGAGGAAAGCCAAATCAGTGAATGTGTAAGCATCTCAGCGCTGGCAGGGGTCTCCACACGGCTGCTCCAGCACCCAGGGCTGCATCGGGGTAGGTCCATGTGGCTTCTCCTCAGGGATGTCTTGCAGGAAGTCAGCCTTGCAAGCTGAAGCAGGGAACTGCTAAGGCAGCTGCACCCTGGTGCGACCATCACAAAGCAAGAGACCCAAGAACTAGAAAGGTGAGGTTCACCAAGCCATTTATCTCTGCGCCCTTCCATTAAACCCACATGTGTTTATTGGCACAATAAACTAACTACCTCAGCCATCAAGTCAATACTGACCCATAGTGACTCTATTGGACAGGGCAGAAATGCCCCTGTGAGTTTCTGAGACTAATTTTTACACGAGTAAAAAGCAACGATACCAATTTTCTCCCACCCCCTACCCCCCCTTGAGGACCCAGGAGAACGAGCTTGATGATAACATGCTCACCTACCTGACTTTTTGATGCGGAGTTCCCTCGTTTGTATATGAGAAAATATTGCCATCTGAGTATTGTGAAGATTCAATAGCGCACACTCACTAAACCCGCTGCCATTAATGCAATTCTGACTCAGAAAGACCCTATAGGACACAGGAGAACTGCTCCTTAGGATTTCTGAGATTAAATCTTTACAGGGGCAGATGGGTTCCTTGAGTGGCTGATGGATTTGAACTGCTGGCCCTGCATCTAAGAGCCCAACACTTAGCACGCTACACCACTAGGGCTCCCTAGAAATACAAGTGGATGACTTTAACACGTAAATTTATTCTCTCACAGTTTAGAAGTCTAGACATCCAAACTCGGAGTGCCAGCTCTAGGAGAATGCCTTCCCTCTTGTGGCAGTTACAGAATCTCTCAACTTGTGATGGGGTAGAGTCTAGCCTGTCAATCAGGTCACAGCCAATGAAACCTCTCTGTGGGCATGGCCTTCCCCTGAGGATTCTGGGAACTACTCTCTTTCTCCCTGGAGGTGGGACACACTCTCTCTCTGCTGCAAGTCTTTCTGCTGAGAAGACACATGGAGCTACAATGATGGAGCCAAAGCTCTAGAGCTGGAAGAGCCCCATGGAGACCCAGGCCAGCGCTGAGATGCTTCCACTGCATCTCATGCATGCATTGCTTGAATCTAAAGAAGAATTTATAGATTGGTATCAGACATATGGGCCAATATCCAACTTAAGGACTTGATCTGGGCTGGGCTGGGCTATTTTCTTAATATACAATCACTCTTTGATCTAAAGCTCTTTCTTGTACACATATGAGTGTCTATGAATTTGTTTCTCTAGTCTACCCAGACTAACACACCTCTCTGTTGGCTCTGGGAGAAGTTCCTTGTCTGGTTTCAACATTTGTGGCACAGGCATTCCTTGAAGATCTCCATGTGTCTTGTCACCAATCTTCCCCTGAGTCTACGGTTCCCAGCACAGGGACTCCAAGTCCAAGTGAAGCCCTGTGTTCCTGGCCTTTCTTTCTCAGTGGTAATCAAACAAGCCCCCACCCCCACCCCCATCTCTGCTGACCTTTCTCTCCTCTCATCTCTTGTAAGATAACCGGTGATGGAAGCTACACTCCAGGGAGATAGACCCTTTAAATCAGATTAGGGCTATTATCTTAATAAGTGTTTCTTCCTGCCTTGATCATGCCTCATACAGACAGAAGTTACCATTTGTAGCACATCACAAAATGGAGGATAATTACATCAGATTGCCCTATAGGAGATGATCATGTCACTACATAATTATTAAATTACTGCCAAACCCTGAGACTCTGGCCCAATCAAAGTTGACACATATTTTGAGAGGACACAACCCATAGCAATGAGTGACTATGGGGAAACACTGAAAACTACTGTGCTTTCCAGATATTATGTCCTAAGTAGTGGGTATTAAGCAATAACAAGAAGAATAAAATATAGTCTTATCTTTGGATTTGGCTTTATGTGGAGGTAAAGAACAGGAAATAGACACAAGGAACCAGGGTAGGCACTGAACCCACCCAATTCACACAGGTAAATATTGTACCTGGACATGGTAATTGGATTGTGCCTTGAACCATGAATTGGTCTTGTAGTTGAGGGTCAGGAGAACACAAGCATGAAGGGAGCAAGTTGGTGGGCAGGAGAATAGGCGTTAGTAAGACTATGGAGGACAGACAGGTAAAAAGATTCTGTCTGTGAATGCAGACACTGTCTTAGAGAGTGAGGAAGCCCTAGGGAGCCCTCAGTGGCCATGGCTATATTCAAGCGGTGGGGGAAAGGAGACAAAAAGAGAAATGAATTTG